TTATGAAGTCCTCCTCTTGAAGGGTAGGCTTGGTGGGGCTCTGTCTTGCAAATAACTGTTACACTGAAGTCTATCCATTTCAGTACAGGAGCACTACTACCGTTTGATAGTAATGATCAGCAAGATTTGGTCCAACATTTTTGAATGTTGTTTTGAAGTACAATAAATTTGCTGTTTTTTCCATAGGAGTTTAAGCAGTCATTGATATGATATACAAGAGCTTTCAGACTTCTGAGTTTTCACTGTAACTATGGATACTTTTATTTTCAACAGCAACAAAAAGCCTCGTTGGCTCAAATAATGTTCTGTGAATAGCATTCATGTAATAGCAACTTGGCACTATATGTATTTGTTTGGAAAGACAATCGATGATATTTTAGGGTTACAACAAAATAGCTCTTCTTAAATACATCCTTTTAGAAAAAAATGGCTGTATTTATCACGTTCAGAATCTCAGCCTAAAAGCTTTTATTATTGTTAAGTCAAGCTCTTACACAACTAATGATTAGTAGAAATATTTCTGGAACTTTGTTTTTACTTTATTGCCAATCATGATACTTGATTTTAAACATAAATGTTCTCAGCTTGGTTTCATCTTTGTTCCTTTCCTCCTTCTTTCTTCTGCAGTCTTTGGTGATCGTGTCAATTTCCCCACATTTCTGAGTCTTTTATCTATATGCTGTTTTCTGCACCCAGATGTTTATGTACTAAAACAGATTGTGTTTTTTGCCTTTTCCCTGGGTAACACTATGACATCTGTATTTAGTTTTTTGCTGCTGTTGTTTTCAAGTGTGTGCTGCCATCTATAGAGTAATCATTGAAATAAAGCTGATACAAAAAGATGTTTTGTCAAAAGATCACGGAAAACAAGATCTAGCTAGTGGAGAAGGTATCATAGGGCAGTTGGCCAGATGTCAAGAAATCCTGTTTCTCTGTAGTCCCAGATCTCACAGCAAGCACAGGTGAAAGTATACTGTTGAGAAAATCGGTGACTTCTAGGAGTTAAGTGATTCAGTACATGTATTTATACTCAGCAAACTATCAGGGCAGCCTGCAAATTGAAATAAGGTTGCTTTGTCCTCTAATCCTGTAACTCGTTCCTTTTCCTTCCCTGTTACCTTTCACATGTCCTAGTCCTTCAGTCCAAGATCTGTTTATTATATTTTTCTTCATTTGATTTTTAAAGCTTAATTTTAATTCCTTATTCTTCTCCAGCATCTTGTTAACTGGCTTCATGCCTCTCCCCTCTGTCCAGTTTCAACCTGCCAGGTTCCAGGTTTCCCTCCTTCAGGTCCCTTCAGAATGCAGTACTGAAGAACAGTCCCCATTCTCTCTCTCTTTCATAACATTCTGTTCTTTGATATCTGTTTTAGAGTATACATTTATTGCAATACATTTGGTCAAGTTGGTCTGGAAAGCACTTGGAGGAGTAATTTACTCTATACTTTTATGAAGTGCCCATGGGGTATCTGTGCATGCATAGAAGCTATCAGCTTTTATCTTGATACTTGTTCATACGCTTTTCAGCTTGCAAATTTCTGACTAAGGATTTTAGCGCCTTACAACCTTGGATAGGGTTAGGTATATGAGTTCCTGGCAATCAGATTTCTCTTCATTTGAGTTAGGAGAACAACTATGTCTTTAGGTCTTTCCTTGTCAACAACAGCGTTAGAGTGGGGGTATATGTAACCACTACTGCTTAAATGCTTTCTTGTAACACAAGACATCAGAATCAAAAGGAGAAGTTTAACCTATATGGATGAAACATTCTCTAAAATGTCTTCTGACATTTTCTTCTTATTGCTGAACTTAGAAATTGATCTTATTTCCCAGCATCAGAGACAAAATGAAGAAAAAAAAATCAATGCTGAAGATTGATCAATGTTTTTCAAAACTGACTTAATAAGACAAAAATCAATGCAGCTGTATTCTTTGCCATTATTTTATCACTAGTATCGTTCAAACATGGTAATATTTGATTCTTAAGTTAAATGTGAAAATATTTCAGTTACCACCTACAGAGGCAAAAAAAAAAACTAAGGAGGAGAGATTTATTTAGTCAAACTTTGGTTTTCTTTTTAATACTAATTTTGGAACTTTGAGTTCTACAGAAACTGAAAACAGTGTCATATTTTAAGTGCCAGTATATAATTTTTCCTTTAATCACAGAGATTTAAATAGAACAAATTATTACTTGTATTGGCAAATTGCAAGCTCTGATCCTCCCTTCCTCCTGCAAATATCAGTTCCATCTTGCTTGGTTGAAAGATCTGTACTTGAAAATTTGAAGATGAGCTTGGGCACCTCATTTCCCCTGTGGCAAACTCACCGTACTTTGACTTTAGAGCCTTACTCTACAAAAGCATTGGCTGCGTAATATTTTTGGCAAAAATGAGCAAGTCATTTAGAGTTTTTTGTTTGGGTTTTTTCCCCTCAATGACCGTTCCCCTTTTCTATCCCTGCTGTCCTCAATAATATTAAGATGCCATACTGATCTATTTAAAGAAAAGTCTTAAAAACTGTCTTGTGTAATATCAATGAACCAATCCCTAAGCCATGAGTTTGACTTAACAGTCGAGAGGTATTTTAAAAAATAATTTGCATTTTAATATTTCAGTTCCTGTTTCCGTGCTGTCTTGGGTTTAGCCCTTTGGGCTCCTAGTTTGAAATTTCTCATAACAACTGAGGGCTAGAAAATGTGCTTTTAGGAAAGACAATCAAGATTCTCACATAATCACTGGGACATGTGAACTGAGATTTTTAGGGAAGTATCAGGCAGTGAAAGGCTCCTGATAAAATCTTAGATATTGGCAACATCTGATAATGACATCTTTTGTTAGAAAGATTTATTTAATGAGAACAGAATAACAGATTTTTGCATAAATGTAACTTAAATTGAATACTTATCTGTAAGATGGGCCAGAATGTCATAAAATAGGAAATGCACACCTAATAGTGGGTAGACACAGTTTTTGAGAATACAGGACTTAATGAGGTTCTCTGTCAATCCAGTAACTTTTATCTCTCTTTTTCATATTCCTTAACTAATTGACAAATGTAGCGAGTTTGCTGCTTTCCTTGAGAAGCTCTGAGCAGCGATACGTACATTTGTTGGGAACAGGCAGTCCCACCCCTTTGTTGTCTCCTTGACCATAAACTTCATTATAGACAATATCTGTGGTCACGTAACAAGAGAGCTTGTACTTGTACCTCTCCTCTCCCTTCCTTCCTCCCTCCCTACCACGAGAGAGAAGTAGCATGGCATATTGCATAGCTAAAAGGTTATCAAGACTGAATTTGTTACACCTCTGAATTTGGCAGGCAAGCATTCACAACCACTATAGAAATACACAGCTCATCACCGCATGAACCTGGACACCCTGAGAAGATAGATGATATTGGATTGGTTTTCGTGTTGCTCTGCAAACAATCAAACAGGCTTAAGCTATGCAATCTGATACTCCCTAATTGACAGCTTTTCCAAGGTTCATTTGTTAACTGAGAGCATGACATGTATTGAAGTTGTTTCTTCATAATGCATTTGGCATTAACAGGAGAAGCTGTCGAACGCCTCAGACATCAACATCTTGGCAATAAGATACTTCGCCTCCAGTTTTGACTTTCTAACTAGTGACTTTATATATGCAAGGGCATTTGTAATGAGCATATGAGAGGACAGGACATAAGAAAAAAGCTTAAAGACATTCGCTAAAAGGAAATTTGTGAGAAAGTATTTTTGCTGCTTGGGACATTTACCTGAGTTTTATGGTTCAACAGTTCTTTTTTCTTTTGGTATAAAACCTTGGTTTCTTGCTTAACAGAGTGCTTGCTGCATACTTATTGGGTTTCAGAGGGTTCTTTTATTTTGGTAGATTAATAAATAGGCATATCTGATTTTATTTATAATGATGAAGAAGTTGTGTGTTAAAGACATGCTCAAGGGTTTAACTTGCCTGTGCATCCACAAGAGAATAAAATAAAACCCCAAAGAAACCTCTATTTCAAAGAATCCTAACCTTACCCCAGATGAAGCCCATGTTTGTTTGAAAGAATAAATTACCTGTGCAGAAGAAACCACAGGATGATTTTTCCTCTGATCTTGTCACTGTTTTGCATTTGCTGTTTTCTTGTAATTAGTTTTCATAAACACTTTCTTAGTTTCTTAGAAAACAAACTGTGCCAGAACTCTAACATTCAGCTTCGTCTTTTTTTCATTCTGTGAAAGATTTCCACTATCTACTCTTCCTTGCAACTGTTCATATGCTGATACCCCGCAAGATGTTCACACAGGGTGTATAAGTACTAATTAAGAGCTTGGTCACAAATACATCATCATTAATAGCTACTGCTTCTGCTACATCCCATGAACTTGATAGTTACAAGATGAATTTGTCTTTGATGTACTAAAAATGCATTTTAATTTCACTTTGTTGTTCTCACTTAGTGTGAGCATGTTACTCTAAATATTTAGCTTAATTTCTCTAGCACCTAGTTAAGTTTCTGTACATATTCTTCCTTCTGGGAGGGGTATATGCCTGAAGAAGTACCTGAAATTTTACAGATGTTGTCAAAATAATGAAGGCGTTTCAGTGGTGCTTTGACTAGTGTTGTTTAGGAGGTGAAACACAGCTGTTTAGATGAGGAAAAAAATGAATGAATGGGTCAGGACGCCTTCATTTCACAGGAATAAAGAGCCTAGCTTTGACAGAAGTGCCTCTTCAAAAAATGCCAGGGAAGAATAAGCAAAGCCAGACTCTGCTTAGAAAAGCCCAGGAACAAACCTTCTGAAAGCCCTGAGGTCTGGAACCTAAGCGCATGTCTCTCTTCCCTCTGTAAACATCAAGGACCTGAATTCCTGCAGCCAAATATTCCTGAGCCTTTGGAGAACATTCTGGATCTGTCTGCATCTAAGTGCTTTCTGTTTTATTTGCAAGGTCTGTTGGCAAATGCCATTTGAGTCCCTGGCAAGCACTGACTCCAGAGGCCCTTCTGTCTTGCAGGGCAAGCACAAGCTGCATGTGGACACGGGACTGGAAGGTGCCTGGTGCGGCCTCATCCCCATCGGGAGCTCCTGCGAGAGCGTGACCACGACAGGCCTCAAGTGGAACCTCAGTAAGTCAGATGCCTCCGGGTCTGTGGGTTTAGCATTATCCTAGCTGCACATTTCCACCAGCTTCACCAGTGCTGAAGAGCCCTATGTGTTTGAAGGTGGAACATGGCATTGAATCCCTGCCAGGCCAGTTTTTTCTAGAAATGTTTAAAAACAAAACAAAACAAAAAAAACCCAAAACAAAAAAGAGACAAATATATTTAAACTCGAGATATGGCAGGCAGAAACATGTTTTCCATTTGAGAGTCATTGTGCTGTTTAAATAGAGCATTTGTTGAGGTCATGATACATTACCATCTTGATACATTTCCCTCCAGGGATGGGAAGCCGCGAGTGCCTAAACTCCTGGTTATAAGCCATAAAGTTACAACAAATAATAGTGTGATACAGATTATTAAAGCTACCTCACTTCCCCTGAACTGCTTCACGTATATTTTCTGTTTGTCAACTCTGAATGAATAGATCCTTTTCTTATTTTAAAGTAGGAAAAGGTGCATTTGCTCTAGAACAAGGACATTTATCTGTAGAGAAAGGAGGTTTCTTGACCAAAAAACATTGAAACAATCTTCTTCCTCCCACACTGAGTCACTCAGGATGCATTTGTTCAGGAAAGCAATGGAATAATTTAGATAAAGATTTGTTAAAACTTAAGGAAACCAAAGCAATGATTGAGAAGCTCTGGTTTTGCAGTCTGATTTCCATGGCCAGACTTTAGAGCCATCCCATGTAGAAAAGGCATGTCATTCTCACAGTTTGCAGTGCAGTGCCCTCATTGGCTAATAACTAATCTGAGGTTGACCCACTGTGCCAGCCAGCAGCGCATGTGCTGGTATAGGGGGTGTCTTGTTCCGCTGAGGGTTTGAGGATGTGCAGTTGAGGAGGTGATAGCCATTAGTAGCTCGCTAATGATAAAAAATATAAATATGGCATTAATTTCAAGACATGAGACACTTGTCAGGTGAAGAGCTGTCTCGCTAGTGATGTTTTCATCCTTTTAAACTGGATTGTAAGAGCTGAATATATTGTATAAGGGACACTGTCTTAATTTGAAAGAGTCAAATATTTTCATTTGTACTGATAAGTAGAGTTGACAAGTAAGGTACTGAATCTTCATCTGCTCATCTCCTGATGTGCAATGGGTTCTGTGGCCTGTTGCACTGAGGGACTGCTCATTTCTCCATAAATGTTCTGCCCTCCAGAGTGAGGTGAAAGAAGCTCAAACCAGCCTCACGTTAATCAAGGGAGCATTTCTGAAGCCTATGTCACTTTGCAAAAGGCTACTGTGTGGAGCAAAGTGTGGTAGATTCTGTGAGGTTGCTGTTCTTTCTTGCAGTTTTGATTATGAGTTTAAAAAAAAAAAAGTTATTTTTCAGATACATCAGGTTTTTTTTTTAGTTTAATGACAGAAATTTCATCAGATTTACAAGGTGCTCGTTAGAAAGATGGTAATTTTAATGGTGCTCTGTCTGCTCCCACAAATTACATGACTTTGTTACTACTAAATTATGACTGCCTGACCTGGTGAACCTAAGGAGAAAGACCTTAGGAGTCTAGCTGTGCCAGCTGGAGGGGAACACAGTGGGAAGTTCAGTGGTAACAAATAGTAAGTTTGTATCTAGCATTGTGTTGAGACATCAGTTTCTTTGATATTTGTTATTCTGGTTGTGCTGTAATAAACTTCTTCAGGTTACTTAGGGGAATAGCTAGATATGGACCTACAAGGATTTATATTATACTTAATTTGGTCTTTTTTTTTTTCTTTTTCGGGGGGAGAAAAAAGTACTTAAGTGACTGTTTCCTGCATATTAACATAACATCAGCATCTCTGCTTCTCCCAGTACTTGTTGCTGTCAGTTTCCAAAAGGAAACCTCAGACCTTTACAGTGTTTTCCTTAGTGATTACAGAATCACAGAATCACAGAATGGTTAGGGTTGGAAGGGACCTCTGGAGATCATCTAGTCCAACCCCCCCGCCAGAGCAGGGTCACCTACAACAGGTTGCACAGGACGGCGTCCAGGCGGGTTTTGAATGTTTCCAGAGTGGGAGACTCCACCACCTCTCTGGGCAGCCTGTTCCAGTGCTCCACTACCCTCAAGGTAAAGAAGTTCCTCCTCATGTTAAGATGGAAATTCCTATGTTCAAGCTTGTGCCCATTACCCCTAGTCCTGTCACTGGGCACCACTGAAAAAAGACTGCTTCCATCCCCCTGGCACCCTCCCTTTAAGTATTTGTAAGTATTAATAAGATCCCCCCTCAATCTTCTTTTCTCTAGACTAAAGAGACCAAGTCCCTAAGCCTTTCCTCATATGAGAGATGTTCCAATCCCCTAATCATCTTTGTAGCCCGTTGCTGGACCCTCTCCAGCAGATCTCTGTCCTTCTTGAACTGGGGAGCCCAGAACTGGATGCAGTATTCCAGATGCGGCCTCACCAGGGCAGAGTAGAGGGGGAGGATGACCTGCCTCGACCTGCTGGCCACACTTTTCCTGATGCAACCCAGGATGCCATTTGCCATCTTGGCCGCCAGGGCACATTGTTGGCTCATGGTCATCCTGTTGTCCACCAGGATTTGTACACTGCACCCCATTACAGGCTGCAATTTCAGTCTCAGTATTCATGTTTCTCACTGGTCGTAGTTCCTTCATTTATTTCTCTTCATTATCATCACAGATTTATAAAACCAAAAGTGATCTGGTCTTCCTTGAAGATGTTTAATCTATCATCTGGGACACCAAGGTCATTACAACCTGGAACTGCTCTTGTGCCCAAGTGACTAAAGCTAACCTTTATAGATTCACATACAGATTTTGAATCAGGTTATTGTTGAGATACTGATAAAACAAATAAGGGTGTGGTTGTATCCCCCAAAAGGGAAACTAATATATCCAATGCAGCATGTGGTTAGTTGTGACTTGGTTGAATTTTTCCCTAATAAATAAGACTTACATTCAGATAGCCTAAGTTTGATGTTAGCTTTCATTGTGTTCATGACTTCTGTGCTGCCTGTAGTTTTGCAGTTACTTTTAAAAATGTTATTCCTCCTGTAGATTGTGATGGAGAATCAAAGGCTCACCTGGGAAGAAAAGGGAATGAGAAGATCATAGAAACATAGAATGAGTTAGGTTGGAAGGGACCTTAAAGATCATCTAGTTCCAAGCCCCCTGCCATGGGCAGGGACACCTCCCACTAGACCAGGTTGTGCAAAGCCCCATCCAACCTGGCCTTGAACACTTCCAGGGATGGGGCCTCAACAATTTCTCTGGACAACGTGTTCCAGTGCCTCACCACTCTCATAGTGAAAATTTCTTCCTGATATCTATTCTAAACCTGCCCTCTTCCAGTTTAAAACCATTACCCCTCGTCCTATCACTACATGCCCTTATAAAAAGTCCCTCTCCAGCTTTCTTGTAGGTCCCCTTCAGATACTGGAAGGCTGCTATAAGGTCTCCCCAGAGCCTTCTCTTCTTCAGACTGAACAGCCCCAACTCTCTCAGCCTGTCTTCATAGCAGAGTTGCTCCAGCCCTCTGATCATCTTCGTAGCCATCCTCTGGACAGGTCCACGTCCTTCTTGTGCTGAGGACTCCAGAGCTGGGTGCAGTACTCCGGGTGGGGTTTCACGAGAGTGGAGTAGAGGGGCAGAATCATCTCACTCAACTGGCCACGCTTCTTTGATGCAGCCCAGGACATGATTGGCTTTCTGGGCTGCAAGCACACATTGCCGACTCATGTTGAGCTTCCCATCCACCAACACCCCTAAGTCCTTCTCCTCAGGGCAGGTTTCAGTCCATTCTCTGCTCAGCTTGCAATTGCCCTGACCCACATGCAGGAACTTGTACTTGGCCTGATTGAACTTCCTGAGGTTGGCCCGGGCCCACCTTTCAAGCTTGTCCAGGTCTCTCTGGATGGCATCCCTCCCCTCCAGCATGTCAACTGCACCACACAGCTTGGTGTCATTAGCAAACTTGCTGAGGGTGCACTCAATCCCACTGTCCGTGTTGCCAAAAAAGATGTTGAACAGCACTGGTCCCAGTACCGACCCCTGAGGAATGCCACTCGTCACTGGTTTCCACTTGGACATCGAGCCATTGACTCTTGGAGTGTGACCATCCAGGCAGTTCCTTATCCACTGAGTGGTCCATCCATCAAATTCATGATACTCCAATTTAGAGGCCAGGATACTGTGTGGGACAGTGTCAAACACTTTGCATAAGTCCTGGTAGATGAAGTCTGTTGCTCTCCCATTATCCACCAAAGTTGTAACCCCATCATAGAAGGTCACCAAATTTGTCAGGCATGACTTGCCTTTGGTGAAGTCATGTTTACTGTCACTGATCACCTCCTTGTTTTCCATATGCCTGAAGTGTGACGTGGATGTCAGCATTGCTGCTGATGGCTGGCATGGACAGAGCTTTCCCTGTTCGTTTGTTAACGGCACTCTGACCATACACCTTCATAAACCTCAATGAATAAAATGTTCTGATTATAAATTCATTTTCATATGTAAATCATGAAAGAAATGGCATTTTTGAGCCAAACATGACATGAAAAGCCTTTTTCTGTAGTTTATTAGGGAATTAATTGAATATGACCTAACAAGTTTGTTTTTAAAAAGTAATTTTTGAGTTCTCAAAATATTGGTTTTAAGTGTCTGGGCAATAAACTAATTCCAGAATTTTAGTTATGTCTGAATAGTCAAAAATGATGCATTAGGTGAGAGGGGAGCCCTCTTTTTTGCAGATAATAATTTCCAGCAACTCAGAATTCAAATAACACTGCATTACAAGAAAGAGCTGGCTTTGCATCAAGGTTTTTAATGTTTAACACTGATGTCTGTCTGAGCATATCTACATTACTCTGCTGATTAAAATATGTAAAACCTTCAAGGGGTAGTCAAACGTTATCTGTATCTAATCTACAGGTCCTGTCAAGAGACTTCATAGACTCTGAATAGAAAAAGGCAAGGATAAATAGCTAAAACAGAAGCTGTACTGGGATTGAGAG